TCTAGTTTTACTTTACCTATCTATCTATCTATCTATCTATATATATATATATATATATATATATATAAAAATCTCCTTCTCAAATTATTATTTTGTTATTCAACATTACACGCTTTCTCACTATTAATTATTCACTTTCGCTTTTCTTATTATAATTATGGATTCAGTATATATAAATTATCATTTTGATTTTTCCCTTGAATTGAACCGCGTGAATCATTTCATTCCCTCGACCTACTTAATGGACCTATTGTAATTATTAATGTGTATCTTTTCCTTGAGGCTTAACATAATAGAGGGACAAACTTGTGCTACTTTCCCTAAGATAAAAACTCAAGCACACAGCGCGATTTGAAGTTCTGCCAACTTTTAAATATGTTTTAATCCAAAAGATTGTTTCACGTATTATTTTCTTTTCAGCATGCCTTCTGGTTGGAGCAGTACTCTTGGGCTTTATTTAAGGCTATGTCTCATATGCTATGCATTGGCTATGGGAGATTTCCACCCCAAAGCCTCACAGACATGTGGCTAACGTTGCTCAGCATGATCAGTGGCGCCACCTGTTACGCTCTCTTTCTGGGACACACCACCAACCTCATACAGTCTCTAGACTCCTCCAGGAGACAGTACAGGGAGAAGGTCAATTTCTTTTCTCCTAATAATACATTTTAATGTGTCACCTGTTACCTTTTACTAGGTTATTTTCTGAAATTAACATTAATTAAAATTTGTAGAAGATTCGCAAGTTGATTGAAAAGATTTTTGTATCAGACCGACGCTATTGTTGCGCATTTTTTGTTTGTTTGAAACTTTTCGCTATCGCTTGAAACTTATCGCTAAATACAAGAAATGGCCATGAATAAGGGGCCAATTCCTTCTCTATCGGAATTCATTCTTTACTATGTAAGAATACATATTTTCTGTTTCTAGACTATCAATGTCAGATGATATAGGGGATCGTAGGTAGATTTTATAGATCTTACGGCTAGGTCGCAATAAGTTTATTGTGCAATCAAGAGGAAAAAAAGAATGGTACACATACCTAATGCTGTCTAGTATCATGTACGATCTCTGCAAGCATGCATGCAGAAGATGCAATGGACTCGACTAATGTTTTGAAGGTATGATTGAGGCAGCTAACACCGTCAATCTTGCAGGGCAGTCCACAAATTCATAAAAATGAGATGTGGTGAAGATCCCTTCCGAGCAACTTGTTGCAAGACATTTCATATATGCTAAGCAATGTTCATGCCAGGGAATTTAAGTCACCGTTGGAACTGTTTGAATTCAGAATAATGAAATTCTGGAGCCTTCTCGCTTGCAACTTTGACGTGAGGGATGTCGCAATGTTCTTTTGGAATTATCCAAAACCGACCAAACACATAATAGACATGAATGGGTGCAGTTGGTCAGACAGGATGCTTCAGGATTGGCTTGATAGTATGGGGCTCAGGGAGGTATTTGATTAAAAGGTCCTTGAAAATGAAATATTTTCGGTTTAATAACTGTTACTGATTTTGATATTCAGTAATCTCATTTACAAAACTTATTAGGAATTTTAAATGTTCTTCAGTAAACTAAATATTTTATAACTAAACTAACTATATTTAATAACTAAACTTCAGTAAACTAATAGATCTTGTAAATCAGTAAATATTCTATTTTAAAAAATTGAATTTGTCTTAAAAAGATATAGAATTACTTTTGTAATTCCAAAAACAGCATTAAAAACCAACAAGAAACAAGTGTGAAATTTGTTCTATGATTTATAAATACAAAAAGTTCAAAGGTCATTTTTCCTGGTAATATATTTCTTTATTTTTCTTCCTATTTTTGTGAGATTTTTTTTTTATCGGGAGGAACCTCAAACTGTTTACATTTGCACCAGGCTGATATGTTGATCCTTCTGGTAATTTGCAATTTATTTTGAGGTCACAAGTCTGATTAATAATAAAAAGTTTACTAAAGTTAATTTAAAGTTTTTGGTTTATAGCCAGCACGATCCAGGCTTTCAGTGTTGCATGAAGGGTTCCATATCATGCCAATTGTATATATTCCATATCATGACAAAGGCTCTATTAGCTTGAAGAGTTTCCTATTCAGATGTAGAGTCCATAGATTCATGAGGCCGTCTCCATACTTGTACACGGCCTGTCACCCTATACAATCGGAAATGCGGCCTGTAAGACCAAGCAGAATGCTTTCAGCCATCAATACAATAATATCTAATCTAATAGTGGTGCTACCGGGCCGAGGCATAGTGTAACGGTACGCCATGCCTAGGCCTCCAGTCAAGAATGGAACTTATTGAAGAGGTTGTCCTGCTGCTCCAAAAGCCCATTGTTCCTTAAAATTGAAATCTGATCTTCGAAATCCCTGGCAATTTAATGAAAGGTTACACTTCTTTCACTTTAATGATTCTCGTTAGTCGTCATTGGTCTTGTTCATTCATGATTTTTTTCTGGTGTCATCGATGTCGGAGATTTGATATTTTACCAAGTGCCCAATATCCACAGTACACTCATAAAGTGACCACAAGTGGTAATCCGAATTATATTACTAGCTCAGTGATGCTGTATCAAATCTCTTTTGCCCTGACAATAACACTACATTCAAACTCACTTAAAATTTGATAACCTGTTGTACCAGAAGCATGCCAAACGACATTTATATTTATAACCGTCGTTGAACAGCCGACCTTATTCTGAGCTTACGATTATTAAGGTTCAACTCTATATCTCTGCAATTTTGAGCCCAATAATAGAAGAAAAGGGAACTCCTTGATCAAGCATTGGGACAAACTAGCCGTAGTAGAGAACTTTTTGAATGGACCTAACCTTTTGAGACGAAAACCACGAAAACCTCCCAAGATTAGTCTGATGGTAATGGAACTCTAACTAATGATCCGTCTACCACTTAGGATAAGTTACGCCAGCACTGCGATCGGTGTGAGCCGGGAGCAAAATTCGGATCGACTAGCCACCTCTAGGATTCGGATCTGAGTCATCTCGTTGGGAGGCAAACACTCTATCCCACTGAGCCACCACGGCTCAATCCAAACTGATATTTTATTTTATTTCATAACCCTTGTTGAACAGCCGACCCAATTTTGGGTTTAAGACTACTAATGTTCAACTCCGTAGGGAAGTAAACGGAAGTATCCAGTAAACAAGGGAACTCCTGGATCAAGTATTAGAAGAAATTTTACTTCGTGAAAATTTTTTGGATGGAACTAACCCACATTTGCGTTACATGTAAAGAAAATCACGAAAACCTTCCACGGTTAGCCTGGCGTTAACTGGTCTTTCTTACCCATGATCCGTCTACCACTGAAGATATTTTACGTCAGCACTGTGGTCAGCGCAGGCCGGGTGTGGAATTTGCATTGACCAACCATCGTTGGGATTCGAACCCGGCTCACCTCATCATCACCCCATAGACACTTTTTGTTCTATATTGGTGCTTCCAATCTCAATGAGTAATTCTGATTGGTTGTAATACTCCGTAATTTTGAATACCTGCGCTCATATCAGTTTTTTCAGCCCTTTAGTATATTAGAATAATGTTATTTTCATTTCAGGTGTTTATTTAAAAAATCAACTCTATCAAATAATCTCAATATTTCCCGATCAGTTATAACTATATTGCTTACGAAGATGATGGCTCATTCTGTGTTGTCATTTTAAATCATAGATATTCATCTAAGTATCATTTGTATTTTATTATAGCAAAGTAAGCGGTATTAAACAGGTGATGCCTATAATAGATCTTGCTAGTACTTTTATGCTTTGTATATTTGTAATTTTTTTATTCATCTCAGAAGATTGGAGAACCCCTGTATCAAAAATCAGGAAAAACGAGCTCAATAATGCAATTTTCGAATGAAGGTGATTCTTATTTGAATTTATCATTGTTGGTTTGCTGTTATTTCTACAAAGTATGTTTTGGGTTAAAATGTCGTTCAACTTGTACAGAAAGAACTTTTCAATTTCTGAGCTTTAAATAGCATTTGAACTTTCATCTTCAATGTCAGAAGCCGGCACAACATACTTTTTGCTATTTTTCCCAGTGTTTGGCTTTTTTGAAACTTCAAAAAGTTTTTATTTTCAAATTTACTAAAACAAAAATTCCCCATATGCCATTTTGTATGGAATGTCTGACTATCCCGTTGTCTGACTTTTTGAAACTTCAAAAAGTTCTTATTTGCAAGCTTGCTAAAGCAAAAATTCCCCATATACCTCTTTGTATTGAATGTGTGTCCTTAAATATTATATTTATCCCTTTTTCTGTAGCTGAAACAAGTGGAAGAGTACATGGCTTATAGGAAATTGCCGAGACAATTAAGGCACCGAATAACTACCTACTTTGAACACAGATATCAGGGAAAATTTTTCAACGAAGAAGAAATTCTTGGGGAGCTCTCCGAAAGGTTGAGGGAGGTAAAGTGGAACTTTCAATTCTTCGTTATTAATTATTTTTTAGCTTGTTTGCTCGAAAAGTCGGTTTTAAACATTTATAGATCCCGTCTATGCAACATATTAAATGATTTCAAAATAATATCCTTCAGCGTTGATATACCGCTTCCAGAAGAATTTCCAGGTGTCGAATGAGCTTTTCGCCAGGGGCTCTGAACTCGCAACCATCGAACGAGCTAGGAATAGAAAAATGACGTCACGTTTCTACTCTTAGGGAAAACCTGTAACCTCGCGCTTTCGAACGGGTTTTGCTAACGGGTTACAATCTTCATTTATCTTCCCATCTATCGGATGTCTTTCACCTAACAATTTGCTAGTGAGAGCGATTCGAGCGTTCGAATAGGATGCGTGTAACGCTGGGATTAAATTAGATTTCCGATTTCAAAGATAATTTTTACCCAGATATTTTATGATTTTTTACAATCATTTACCCAGATATTTTATGAATATATATTTTAGACATAATTTTTTCTCTCAAGACATAATTTTAGGCACAATTTTTTCTCTTACGAGTAAGCTCATGGTAAGCGTTTTCCGAAATGTTCGTTAGAGCCTTGGTGCAATCCTCTTTAATTTTGCCAATTGTACCGGAATTTAGTCTTTTCCTAATAGTTTTTACGCACAGGATGCATAGGTGAGGCTAAAGAACTGTTGGCACCTTTGATTTGGCCGGGAAAAATGATCTGAAAAAAAATGGAGTGGTAAGAATTTTCTTCACATTTATCAGAAGATAGAATCTCGTAAAATCTTTGGCAGAATTTTTTCGTGTTTTTTTTTGTTGCGACATACCTCTCTAGTACTAATATCTTTCTGTCGGATACTTTAAATAATAACAAATGCACATGTTACAAATTTAAAATAAAGAAACTTCAGAAAAAAAAACTGTTTGGATTTACTTCAATTTAATTTTATTTTGAAAAATTTAAAAAATATCTTATTAGAAATTTGAAATATTTAGTTATATGAGTTTAAATAATATTTTAGATGATTATACAGACACAAATATCGATGATAAAGTTTGAAACTTTTTGAGCAGACGCTAATTTGAGAGTCACGGTTAAAACTCCTTCATCAAACAATAGTTGACAAAATGCGTATGAGTTTTTTCACTGACGGTGAAGGGATATATCACACGTGACCTGTTGAAAGAGATAAGTTTCTTAGACAGGCAACCCTTTTACTTCGATAGTGACCTAGTGTCGAGCAAATCTAATCGAAGAAACGCGTTGCATAAGGGCGTACGAGAATGCTTGTAGTCGCGTCAAAGGCACTACATATGCTTAAACCAAGCACTTTTTTCTAGCTTCACTGTAAAATCAGAGACTTTTCGAACATGCTTATGTATTTATTTTTCATATAGTTGTTTAATCACTAACAAAAGAAGCTGTATTTCTATTTGAACAGGATGTCATCAACTACAACTGCCGATCTCTGGTTGCCTCAGTACCTTTCTTCGCGAATGCGGATCAGAATTTTGTGAACGATGTGGTAACAAAGTTGAGGTACGAAGTGTTCCAGCCAGGAGACGTCATCATCAAAGAGGGAACCCTGGGCACCAAGATGTACTTCATCCAGGAGGGCATCGTCGACATTGTGATGAGCAACGGTGAAATAGCTACAAGCCTTTCAGATGGTTCATATTTTGGAGGTATTTTCAGCTTCGAGTTTGATGTGAATGTTTCACTGTAAGGGGAGGCCTTTCTCATCTCGATTTCCCTTTTTCCAAAGTCTCCAAATGTATTCGGGAACATACTCAATGCATTCCCAATGCACAATCGAATTTGGAGAATATTATTGGCAAGTTTATATAGGGGAGATTTCCGTATCATGATCAGTGGCAGAATAATCGCCAAGTCTTCAATAGAAAGCAGAATAATTGCCTTCCGGGCAGAGGCCTGTGAGAAACTTTAGAAAAATCATCACAGAAAGGGACCAACTCGAAAGGTATAACTCGTAGCCACCTTTGGGCGAACATCAACATGTTTTTTTTAAAAAAAAATGCATGCTTAAAATCTATTCGGCACCTTGGCGATTGTAGTTGAAGCGACAGATCATGATGTGGAAATATCCCCTTTATTTTACCAATTAGGTCCTCATTATTATCTCCGAAATTATATTTACGAATTTCTAGCATGCAGTTGAGAGCTGTCCCTCAAGCTTCTGGACATTGCTGGTACAGCACGCACATCACTCAACTTTGGCCAAGCAAGGTATCTCTTTACAACCATGCTAGAATGCCATGCAACTTTGACCCTTGTCTGACGACGTGGTCAGCACTGAGCTGCAGCCACTCTCTCTGAATTTCCTCACCACAACCAATGAGAGATCTTTCAACCACAGCGAATTTAATGTGCACTTTATTGTGCATATCATCCAGTTTATTTGACTGCTAGGATCAAGTTTACAACCCCGCAAGCAACGTGAGTGACGTCTTAATCGTCTACATTACTGGAGCGTATTCTTCTGCAACAATATTAGTACCAGAAGTACAGACTTGTGAAACACTTGTGTCGAGGATCCTTCCTCGACTAGCTAAGTGCGAGTTATTTTTTTTTAAGAGATAAGAGGATAGTTTGAATAAATGATATGAAACTTCGACATCGTAACTTACCAAAAACTTGATTCAATAAAATAAAAATTGTAATAAAAATAGTAGGTTTAAAATTAAAAGCAATAATGCACTGATTCCAATAAAATTCGTTAATTCATTTTATTATTCCAATCAGTATTTCTAAATTCCTGCTGTTATGATTTTCATTTGATTACATTGATTTGTGCCGACCGGACGGTGTAGTGGTCAGGGAGCTGACCTCACACCAGGAAGGTCCTGGGTTCAAATCCTGGACAAGACCTGGATGTTCTTTCCTTCTCTGTACTATCGGCAGCGTTTATCCACCTAATATGGTGCACCTGAAGGAGCGGCCAACAAATCTGTCCAACTGAAACCTGAATGAAGAGTGTCAATCGGGTGGGCATTTGAAAAAAACAACATGGATTTGAAGCCTCTGATTAGGTGATTCGATTAATAGTACTGTTAGAATATTTCAAATTATTTTATGAAAGATAATTCATAATGATCGATCGAATAGCTTTTGTTTTGAACAATTTCACAGTATCGATTGTCGTGAAATTATTTAAATATGAAAACAACTTCAATAAAAAATTTTGTGAAACTTCCACAAAAACTTCTGAACTTTTGTAGTACTACCCCTAACATATATATATGCACAAATATATATATATTAAACTAAATATATTCAAAATTTACGTATTGTTATGACTGATATAGCATTTTAGTTTGACTTTTGTGTAATTTTAATCTATTATATATAAACCTAAATCTATTAGAAGTAGTATTGCCAAAAATTGTTATAATTATGTTTACGAAATAAAATGAAGGCACGTAAAATATTAAATGGCTGGATATACTGTATATCCACATGTGCTTAAATTAATACATATTTGAATACCCGAAATACTACTTGATGTATAAACTTGAATATCCGCAACAAAAATTTCGTTTAAAATATGCCTAATTTGATGTTTTTATGGAATTTTTGAAGGGTAAAGCAATGAAGTTTCAAGTAATTTATTTTGGCGTTTAATGTGTTGTCTTCATAAAGTTAATATTGGAGGTATTTCAAACATCCATAAGTCATTTTAAATTTTTGTATTGCATACAAACTTTTCGGTATTATTGAATGATTCATTTTCAATTGCATATTTACTTTAAAATATATCTGAATTATTTCAAATTACATTCTTTCATGAATCAGTTTGAGCAATGTATTATTTAAATCAATTTGAAACGCATTTTTCCCCCATAAAAGTATGAGTTTCTTTGTGTCACGTATTCGTTTTTCAGATATGAATATCACAGTTTATATTGAGTGTTTTTTTTTTAAATATCCTTAACTCATTGCTTAATTGCGAAACTTGCTTTTCAAAAAGGCATTGAAGGTGTGTGATGTGTGAAAAAAAGAACCGTTTTTGTAACTTTTGACCTAATGATCGGAGTTTCACGAACCCACTGCTCAATCTTAATAAATCTTAGATAGAGAAACTTACCGTAAATATGCTAATCAATTAGCTTAAACGATATTTAAGTTACAGAATAAGGCAAAACAGCATTTTTTTTTAAAAAAATAGAAACACTCTTTTTCCTACAGATTTGGATTTTTGCCTTTAAAAATATGGGGTGAAGAATATCTAATAGTTTCTGAGCTAACAAATTTCAAAAAGTTGTACATTTTAAAAAATTGATTTCTCGAGAACTAGCACTCAAGAATTCAATTTGTATCAAATACCTTACAAATCAAAATTTGACTATTATTAAATGAAATAATAAAATATATATTGTTGTTAAAAGTTAATTACCAGCAATTATTTTTGCATAAGCGAATTTTATATTTGTGTGCAAAATTTGTTTGATTCATTTAAGTTTTGAAGCAGAAAACGAAATTAACATAAAGGGATCCAAACTTTATCGATTTTTCTCTTTGGTTATTGATATTATTTTAGCCAGATTACGGCTACATAATAAAAAAGATGTCTGTTCAGAAAAAATATGCTTATTTGTCTGATATTATAACTTAGAATTTTGTAACGAATTAATCAGTGACTCATTGTGATTAAATTACTAATTAATCAGCATATTGAAGGTTAGGCTCCTGTTCCATTACAGTTGATTCCCTGGATCTTCACTATCCAATATCATAAATTTAGTTTTATTTAAATTCGTTTTTTACCACGTTTACTACTTTTTCTTTGTGCACAGTGGCCTAGTTTTGGGGGACAAAACCCCCTCCGAAATTATACATTATTTGATTAATGAGCTATTGTACGGTAAACAGGTTGTAGTTTTAAAAAATTTTTGATTATTGATTTTTTGTAATTTAAGCATTTGGAGAAAAAATAAAGTATATGTTACCGAGAATGACAGAATTTAAGTCAGCGTCGATTTTCAACGGTGAATGTCAATAATCACATAGTCGCCTTGATGAATGCCCAAAATATTTGTTACATCCGGTTTGATATTAATTTATTCGTTGATATTATTATATTTATTCTATATTTCAACATCTGCTGAGGATAGATTAGGAGAACCATCAGTGTTGAGATGACCAGTTAAATACATACTGGGCAGTGGCACTTGACCGTAATAAAAACACTGACGTAGGCATACCGCGCCAATGCATTCCGGACAGTGGCATTTAACTAGACCTAGTATATATTTCGAACATTTAAAAAAGCGACTTTGTGATTGTCAATATTCACCTGTGAAAGTCAACCACCACTATTTTCAGTCATCCACAGTAACATACATATATAATGTAAGAAGGAATGAAACCCTCTCGAAACATACATTAAAACTATGCCACTGACTGTACCTGATTTAGTTTGAATTGCATGCTTATTTTTTAATTGTGAAGGGTTTCAGCTTGTTGCGTATAAAGCATTTTTATTCCCCTTTCAGAAATCTGCCTGCTGACGAACGCAAAGAGAGTGGCTAGTGTCCGAGCGGAGACATACTGCAACTTGTTCTCTTTGTCTGTCGAGCACTTCAATGCCGTCCTCAATGTCTACCCGCTGATGCGCCGCACCATGGAGTCCATTGCTGCCGAGCGTCTCAACAAAATCGGCAAAAATCCAAGTATGGTATCCAATCGCGAGGACTTGCAGCACGACTTAAAAGCGGTCAACGCCCTTCTGTTGTCCACTCACGAGCGGGACACAACGGACAGTAGTGACGACAGCGACGATTTGCCACCTGCCTTCCGTAACAAGAAGCTCAAGAAGCACTCCATTGCTATGGCAGTTTCTAAAACGTTGAAGAACGCGTTGCCCAGACCCAAGTCTGAAAGCTGCTTTAATAACATGGATCAGGTGTTCCGCCCGGAACCTAGCTATCTGCAAAGATCTGAAACCTTCTACCAATCCACGAGTCTGGCGCCACCGCCTGAAAGCAGCTGCCAACTGCGACCGTGAACTCTAACCACCGTGCCTCCTAAGCCGTCTCTGAGACTGTTCCATGGGATGGTCCATCGTGATGTCAGTGTGAGAGTGCCTCACTCGGTTCGCGCCATTTCGTTTGATGAGCGCTTTGCATTTGAGTGAAAACGATAAAGAAACAAGTTCTAGAAGTGTGTTTTCTTCCGCTTTATTAAAAGTTCTAAAAAATACTTTTTTTTAAAAAAAAATAACGAAGTTATTAAAATGCATTGGACAACTTTAATCCTTTGATAAAAAATATTGCAATTCCGCAATTTATAACATTTTTGATTAAATTAATGAAAACGATTTGCAAAAAAACTATAAGTGACAAAAGTATTAAAAGTAGTTTCCTTTTGATTTAAAAAGTTTTAAGAATGCTTTTTTTGGACGAATACTAAATTACTAAAATGCATTGAACAATTTTAATCCATTAATAAAAATATTCCAATTCTGTGATTCGTAACGCTCTCTCTTAGAGTATAGAATTAGTTCAATTTGGTTAAGTTCAAAACGAGCTGATTTGTCAAAAATCTGTATTTTAGTACAGGTTCTGTATTTTATTCAGGTCAAAAATCTGTATTTTAGTTAATTTCTATGCTTGCTTTGCCATTTTCTTTAATGAAAAGAAACATTCTACTTATACCTGTTGGATACACAAATTATTATTAATATTTTTGAGTTCCAAGGTTAGATGCAGGTTGAGCATCTTAACACAAAGTTCATAAAGGTTGTGATAAATCGAGTGAGGCACAAAATAATTTCGGTGGTGCAAAACTTTATATTTCAAAAGAGTCACAGATAACTGAAACTGTGACTATATTGTACATAGCTGTAGAGAAAATAGCCAATTGTATAGGAATCTATTTTTTTCTTGTACACGACTTTTACGTAATGCACAATCAACGTAGAAGCCGATGGACAAACGACGGCTCCTTGTAAAAAGACATAAGACTAATAGACAATAAGAAATTTTTTATACAAGATAGAAAATATGAATATTATGTTTATTTGTTGTAAACTGCTGTGTACCAATTTGTTGAAAGGCCTTAGAGAACGTCACTTCTTCACTCCAATCGAAATAATTCCATCTTTTCTTTTATTCTATTTTCCATTACAAAGAAATTGTATACTTGCAAACAATTAAGGTTTCAGCAACTTTAAAATGATACTTCAAAAATTTAAAATGATAATTCTTGTACGTTTAGAATAACAATACAGAGCAACACAATTTTTGTTTTCAGGTGAGTTCAAAGTTTTTAGTTGAGAAAAAAAACTTCTTTTAGATTAAAAGAAAACATTTAAATTTTTAAAACATAATAAATTACATACACTTAATCCTGTCTCTCTTTATAATCTTTAAAACTGCGACAGGTCTAATCATTAAAAGGTAGGTTCAAAAAGTCAAAGTTTCTTTACTATTTTAGCGGTAGTACAAAGAAGTTTTCTATTAACATCATAAAACAGTATGCTAAGTTTTCTTCTAACTCTAAATAAATATTTTCTGTCTCCTCAATATTCTCAAAAATTATAACAAATTGACTAAAAATATTAAAACTTTCAGAAAAATATAGTTATTTTTTATTAGTTTGAGGTAGCATTTAAAAATTACCACTTTAGCAAAGAAATTTGCACAAGTTGTTAGGATTGCAACCTAATATCCTCTACCGCTGTAATGACGTCCTGGTTGGTATTAGTGTATTGTGACAGCAGAATTGAATATTATGAATTGACTAGGGAGCTAAGCCTGCTGTTCGCTAGCGCTCAACAACCCCGATGATTGCTTCGCAATTATTGCTGTTTCTTGGCGGTTGAAATTATTGTACTAAAAATATATGTTCTAAAAAGATCACTTGTGCCGCCATTTCCCACGTCCAAATATTTCCCTTACGATACTACTAAGATCTATTAGATGATATAAATCATTTTTTCTAAGTAATCATTTTTTGAATAAACATTTAAAATTAAAAGTATATTGTTAGAACAAATTTGGAGAGTTCACAATTAATATAATTAATATTTTTGTTTACCAAATGGACGGATGTATTTTAAATACAATTTTTGCATTCATTACTTTGTGCATGAAGTTGAAAGTTAAATTCTGAATCTTTAACAAAGGTCTTTAACCGTAATTCATAATAGTAATATATTAACGTGATTTGCACCAAAAAATTAATAGTTGTGTAACTGTTAATAAGATCAGATACCGATTTAAATAATTTTATCTTAAAATGCAACGTAGAATTACGTTATTCTAATAATAACAAAAACAATCCTCTTAAACTCTTAATTTAGGAAACAAACAAAATTAAAACCTAATAATAACGGTACAGTTAAATACCTTTAAGTTAGGGATACAAAAATATTCATAGGAAAGCAATACCTTTATGACTTAGATCAATTCTATGCTGATGACAACCGTACCAATATGAAAATTAATGTGGTAAAACTAGACCCTACCATGTGATTTTCCGGCCAATAAAATTGCACCGCCAACAATGGAAAACTGCGACACCATCACTAAATTTTTATAAATAGTTAAATATCTCTCATCTTTTCAATGGACCAACGCAGACGTCGGTATCGGGGACGGCAGAAAATATTAAGTTATAACCCTAAAATTTTATATAGATATTCTCATTAAGAAGTTGTAACTTTTAAGCGCTACAGCAAGCTTGTCAACAAAATCTGTGGGGTTTTTTAAAAATAATTTTTAGAATTTTAAACATTAATCTAGTATTCACAACTTTTGGCCAGACACATATTTAGAGTTTGCGCAATTCTCACTAGTGATAGTTGATTTATAATGATAGAACCTTTCCACAATACCTCAAAAAGTTTTAAGATATTTCGTACTTCGATAACTTTGACTCACCTCTATAGTCATAAAATATTAGGTGTAATAAAGTGACTATGCGCCATTTCTTTTTCAAACTATTACATCTTTGCCATTAATAGATTATCTTGAGTTCTTTTTCAAACTATTACATCTTTGGCATTAATAGATTATCTTCAGTTCTTTTTCAAACTATTTCATCTTTGGCATTAATAGATAATAGAGTAACTTAAATCGATAATATCCTAATGGTTTGTAATTAATTACATAGTTCTTTATTCTTTTTTAAAATCGAATCATAATCTTCTAATTTCTCCGTTAGATTTTGCTGGGAGTTGTTGATTTCGCAGCACCTGGTAACTTCACTATACCTAATCGCCAAATTTTTAATTATGTTAGATACACCTGTGGACTGTTTTATATTATCATTATTGAATAATAATTAATTGAATGTTTCGCTAAAAGTTATGCAGCCTATTATTTAATAATTAACAAACATGAACTCACGAACAGGTAGACAGCAACTTTTTCAGTTTGAAGTAAATATATTTTTTAATTTGAAGTGTATTTATTATAAGTAAATTATAAAAATCTTGAACGTAAAGTTTAAATATAAAGACGTCGATTATCGTTCAAGGTTAGTAAACTGTTGAGGGATGCCATTTTAGAATTTGGAAGTTCGAAGTTATTTGCGATTTTTCTTACAAATAGAATAAATACTGCACAGAATTATTTTACAATTTTTTTTTATTAAATACAGTTAATTAAAGTTAATAAAACAGTTAATATAAATTTTTGAAAAACAGAAGTCTTTTCATACCAAGCAGTTATGATCCAGCGAGTTGGACATTAATCCAAAACTTAAAAAATAATTGCAAATTTATAAGCAAACTAAGTCGATATAATAACAAGCATACTGACTACTACTATAATTTTTAAAATCCATCCAATTTAGATACAAGACTTTAGATACAAGTTTTAAAATTGTGAATGGTATAACTATTCTATAAGCTCATATAAAAGTTTTTTTTTATTTATAAATTCATTTTTCTTAAGATTGGGTCATGCTATATACGAATATAAAGGAACTTTCAAACGTTCTATGATTTTTTTTTGTTCCGTAGAAAAAAAATGGTAATTTAGGTTTTATCGTTTAATATTCATGCTGCAAAGATCTTGATTTTTTGAATCAATATTGGGAAAAAAATTATAAATTCGTTGAAAGTTCAAATCCCCAAGCAATAAGCATTTCTACTAAATAATTATTTTATTCCATTTCAGAACACTTTAAATGCAATAAAGGGAATTGATTTTTGATTGGAGTGAAGAGGCCGTAAGGATTATTGTTAGAGATTTGTAGATTTTAGAGAATTATTTTAGGTAATCGCGTAGAAGCGTAGCTCTTTAGCATGGGAATATACAGTGTTTTATGAGCTTAGCCTTTTTCAGCCGTTGATGTGAACACTTATTTTTGTAGAGTTTCATTTCAAGAGAAAAAAAACAGACAAACTAATAAAGTGAATAAAAAAAATTGAAGGAGAAAGTGCTAGAGAGCTAATTGAAATGCTATGCTCAAGATTGCCCACAAATTCAAAACACAGGATGTTTAAAAAAAGACGCTAGTGGATATCACAAAATTGTACAATTTCTATTTTATGTTTGAGCGAGTTTATTCGAAATTAGCTTCATCCATATCTATTTATTACAAACACATTAAATGCTGATTACATTTTGTTTCTAACTTATATATTTATGGTAATATGCACGAAGCAGTGTTTGCAATATTTATGTGTAGCAGGAATGGCTGTGAGAACATCCGAATAAGAAAATAAATTGATGCATGTGAAATATCCATCATCGTGCTTTTAAACAAATGTTTTGCTTTTTCATTACAGTCCTCCCCCCCCCCTGAAGTGGCAAAAGATATCAATTTTAGAGTTATAATATTTTGCCTGCTTCTTTATAATAATAGTTGATACTTTTTCTCAACTACCACTGAAAGATGTAAAACGCGTCGACGGCTTAGACCGACACTATTGAACAGAACTACTGTATAGAAATGCTACACAGAATTACTGTACAGAACTACTGTACAGAAATTCTGCACAGAATTACTGTACAGAGCTACTGTATAGAGCTGCTACACAGAATTACTGTACAGAACTACTGTATAGAAATTCTGCATAGAATTACTGTACAGAACTACTGTATAGAGCTGCTGCATAGAAATGCTGCATAGAAATGCTGCACAAAATTACTGTATAGAGCTGCTGCATAGAAATGCTGCACAGAATTACTGTACAGAACTACTGTATAGAAATGCTGTTCAGAATTACTGTACCGAACTACTGTACAGAA